TACTTAAAGAAAATCTAAACTTACAAAAGGTATAAAGCAGGTCCTTGATTCACTGAACATTCTCCAATTTACCTCCAATTTAAAGTATTGGAAGAGATCTGAAATTGGAGAAGGTCTATGCATTATTACCTTAACTCCAACTGGCTGAGAGGTTCCCCTCTTGAATGACATTGGATTTGGGGCATCTAATTTTCTGTGCTATGCAGCTACAAGCAATAATAATTTGTTCTTTGACTAGGAAAAAGGAAATACTATCAGAACTTTTTTTTTTTTTAAATGTAGAAGAAATACCTGCCTTCAGGGAAATGGAGTTGAGATGCTCTACTCCAAGCCTACACTGCAATGTATTTTGTAACGAGGCATTCAAATTCTCGGCTGACATTGCTGCTTACTCTATGCCTACTTACCTGTTTGAAGGAACACTTTCCTTACGTCTAGCAGGTGGGATATATTAAGGCTTGAGATAAGCAATATATTTTCTTGTAACAAAACCGTCCCCTTGCAATTACTTCTTTGAAAAAAGCAATATATGATGATGAAAAAATGTGATTCACTTAACAAAAATGCATTTACAAGCAACTTTTCAGGAACATAGCTCTTTTGCTAAGGCAGGAACATCTGTATTTACAATACAGATCTGAAACACCTACATGTTTTTCTGTATAACAGAGCATGTTTCTCTTGGCTGACACAACGTTTTATCTTCATATTTGATCAGGAATTTATAAATAGGTCATTCTTGGTATTTTAGTCAAAAGGACATTTGGGCATTAGTTTTGTTGTAGGGAAAACAATGAAGTGTAACAGCATAAAATAATCATGTTAGTCTTTTCACTTTTCCCATGCATGCAAAGTTACCATCTGAAGTCTTCCTTAGTTCAGTTTTCAGTTTTTCCTGCTCTTCTACTAGTTTTTTGTTTTCTGCTTCCAAAATGCGGTCCTCATCCTTGCCATAGCTTTTCAAGATCTATCACAAAAGAAGTAAGCTTAGATCGCAGCAGCCAGACATTATTACAGAAAATAAGCTGAGTAACCTATTTAAAATTATTGGTATTTAATTTGTTCTTTATCCTTTTCAATATTTTATAATTTCCTACAATGTACTTTTACTAACAGAAACTTAATATTTGGCAAACACACAAAA